GGCTGCCATGGCCACCTACTCACTGGGCAAGTGATGGGGGGGTCTGGCTCTCATACTGACCCTTTCCTGACACCAATCCATGGCAGCATACAATGGGTATGGCTCCGCCCCCAGCCCATTGTATGCTCCAATGTATTGGCGCCAGGAAAGGAAAAATTACCGATAGGTAAGTATACAATTTTCCGTAGTGGCCCCGAGTACTTGCTTGGACACTCACACAGATATGGTCTTCTGACTTTCATACGTGTTCCAGGCCAGCTCATGCCGGGGAATCAGGAGAACACGGTTTTCTGAAGGCGCTCCACATTGCCAGCCCCTGTAGGGACACGCCTCTCCACTGCCACTTGGGCATGTCCGCACTTAAAAGTAACAAGTGACAATGGAAGGGCAGAGTTTGAGTCACAGCGTACACAGGGACTGGCAATGTGGAGAACAAAAATGTCTGACCCCGGGATCAGCCTCCTGCAGTCCCTATACAGCAGGGCTCAGATCGTGAGAGGAAGAATCAGCACAAAGCACCAATGTGCTGACAAGGATCATGCCGATAGGAGAGAGAAGATTGCCAGAGAGATGAACTCATCGCTGTGCTGCTTCTCCTTTCACTATCCATTCGCAGGATTGGGGGCTTGTCCGGGATGACCTGGGCTCAGAGGAAGCGGTTTGATGATACTGTCTCTCAGACGGAGGACATCTAGTGGCAGAAAAAAGTACTGCAGGGAAATGTTGCGGCAAAAGTCGATTTTGTTTTAATTTTTTGGCTGTCCTGCCCTTTTTGTAACCCCTTGTCCACCGAAGCAACCACCTGTTCTAGCCACCCCTTGGCTGACCCAGAATAAAGTAGATGTAAAAGCCAATTTTTGGATGGAGTAGGGAAGGGCGAAACCCCTGCCAGTTTAGTTTTTACATACCCATATTTATGGAGGTTTACATTTGCCTTCACTTCCTGTCCCGGAGACGTAACAGGAAGCGAGAGCAAATCCCCCAAAGCCAGGGGAATTCTCCTCTTAGTTGTCCCGGAAACAGGTGTCCCCCATTGAGAGATTAACTCCTACCGCTTGTCCTGGGGACAACCCTAAATGCCCCCCATTGAGAGACCTTTTGTCCGTCCTGGTGACAACCCTAAAATTTTGGATTTCCCCCCTCAGATTCTTAGTTACAGGGGTCACCAGTACAAATGGAGGGCAGAATCTCTCCAACGGGGACACCAGACAGAGATGAAAACTCGGCAGAGGGTCTAATCCTTCCTCACTTTAATATTTATAGGAACACTGTAGATTGTTGACCCAGAGCAGGGATAGGCAACATTGACCCTCTAGATGTGGTAAGACTACAAGCCCCATTGGGCACTGCAAGACTGACCTCCACAGCCATGACTCCTAGAGGCAAAGCCATGATGGGATTGGTAGGTCCACCACAGCTGGAGTGACAAGGTTGCCCACCAATTAACTAGGAAGTATCTGATTGACCTTGGTGACCAGCACCCAACCTATTGGAGATGCCTTCTAAAGGGGTTTTTTTTTCACCTTCCTCTGGATAAACTTCAGGTTGAGGGTTTTGAGGAACCTAATTTTTAATTCATGGTTGTCTTCTGGTTGGACTCTTTGGACGGACGTCCATATTTCAACCTGTGCAAAAGTATACAGTATACACACAAAGAAAAAAACCACCCAGATTACACCAGTAAGCCAAAATACCATTTAATAAGAAGATATCTATTCACATTGAGAAGGAGGCGGCATTGATCAATACCGCCGGGTAGAGCTGATCCGGTACACCAATCCCGGTTCTTTGTTGGTGCAGAATCAGCACTATTCTGCACCGAGTAATACCCGAGGGTAACAGCGGGTGGACGTTAACAGAGGGCGTCGCCCCCGTCCTCCGGCGCCAGCAGATAAAGACGAGACGCCGACTTGGTTGGTTTCTTCACAGGACAGTCAAACGTCGACCCCGACGCGCAAATCTAGGAGATTGTTCTCAGCGTCTGCGGCCAAAACAACAACAAAAAAAGTGGAATGCGTCAATCCATTGAAATATTAATAAAGATCGGAGGCTGTGCTATTCCATTAGAGGCCAAAAGGTGAGGTTGCGTGGTCCGTAGGAAGGGAGTCCTGGCATTGCCTTGCATGAGATACACGACTGGTTGACCAAGTCCACTCAACAGTGCAATCGACTGCAAGTCACGACTTCTATCTACAGACCATGTATGGGCGTCACTTGACCATTGTGAGGCCAATTCTGGGCCGAGATCAATCGGAGGTTGGTTAGCACCAGCTGAAAGGTTCAGCTCTTCATGGGAAGTGATGGGGTTAGGACCAGGCAAGGGTCAACGGGTGTTGGTCAAGTCATCAGGTCTCCGGGAGGCAAACCCAATCTAAGTCCGGAAGGGTCATCTCTAGAAGACTACAAGCCAGAGTGCGAAGATCGCAGTAGACTTCAGGTCCAAATGAGGTCCCCGGATGAGGTGGTTGGCCACCAAGAGCTCAGAGGGTATGGGATGGCCACCAAGAGCTCAGAGGGTATGAGATGGCCACCAAGAGCTCAGAGGGTATGGGATGGCCACCAAGAGCTCAGAGGGTATGGGCTGGCCACCAAGAGCTCAGAGGGTATGGGATGGCCACCAAGAGCTCAGAGGGTATGGGATGGCCACCAAGAGCTCAGAGGGTATGGGATGGCCACCAAGAAGATAAGACCCTTGTTGAGATTCCTCAATAAATCCATCAAGCAGCCGTAGGTCGTTGTTGAGCCTTTGCTTTAGGAGGTTTGGCACTGCATGGGACGATAGGAGTCATGGTCATCCTCTTCATAGGCCTCCCGTCTGTGGTCCTCACTTGGGTTATAGTCCGTTAGGTTGACATCCTCGGTGATGTCGGGCAAGTCTGGCTTGGATTGCGATGGGAATAACCCTTGAAGCTCCTGCAGACGGTCAGTGGGCATCCAGCCGGGTTCGGGGAATTTTACCTGAAATGTGAAAATTAAAATTTAAATGGATAAAAATCACCAATTAACGCTTTTGCCGCTGGAGGCAGAGGGACAGCATGGGTGTTGATCCAACGGGGCGCTGTCACGCCGGCGCGTTGCCCACTATTGGAGTGCCAAGATAAATGAATGGCGAGGTCAACCTCAAGGGAACTTGATACACCTTGATGTCTCAACCTATGGCCATATTGGGGACAGGGTCCTTATGACCCTTGATGACTTCGGCATGGGCCCGGGCCCTGACCCCCCTCACCTGTATCATGGGGGCAAAAAAAATAGTAAAAAAGGAAACTTTTGATACAAATAAAACCTGGACAACTGGTCACCTGGAACTGGATGATGAGGTCCCCCTTCTCGAAAGGATCGCGGTACTTGGGCATCCCCTCCTTCGGGATACGCTTGGTGTCGCCGGGTCTGATCACATTACCTGGAGGAAAAAAGAGGAGGACATTGTGACGTGGATCTACAACCAAGATTTTTTTTTAATACTTTGGGTAGGGAAGCAATTTTCGGCATCCCTTTGGGGAGATCAGCCTTCATTTCCTGCCCCCCAGAGACAAAAACAGGAAGTGAAGGGCAAATCTCATAGGTTGTCACCCCGATAGAAGTCCCCAGAGGATGGTTTCCCCCTCACCTCCTGTTCTGGTAACTTTTCGGTTTACCAGGACAAAAAATGGAGAGAGAGTGAATCTCCCCGGCCGGGACACAGAGGGGATAAAATTTGGGCGGGGATCCAAAACTAGAACAAAAAATAGTTTTTAAAAGCTTTAAAAAACACATTAAATAGCAACTGAACTGAAATGATGCAGAGAAGGTAAAAGGACCGGTCACCGGTATGGGACGTGGTCTACCTGAAGCGGATTGTCCCCATTGCCGATTCCCCATGCCATGATCTGCACTGGGTCTCTATGTGGAGGCGGCCATCTTGGTAGAGGAAGGGCTTTGCTTCCTCAAGTCAGAGGTGCCCCCATCCCCCCCGAAGCAGATTGTCCCCATTGCCGATTTACCATGCCCTTGATGTGCACTTTGTCCTTACATGGAGGCGGCCATCTTGCGAGACGCGGGGCTTTGCTTCCTCATGTCAGAGCTACCCCCATCCCCCTCCGAAGCAGATTGTCCCCATTGCCGATTTCCCATGCCTTGATCTGCACTGGGCCTCTATATGGAGGCGGCCATCTTGGTGGAGGCATGGCTTTGCTTCCTCATGTCAGAGTTGCCCCCCTGATGACTGGTCGGGTAATGATAGAGTTGGAGGAAGCACAGATCTACAGAATGGATGAAGCAGGGAGATCCTTGCACTGCAGGTTCCCAGGTGCAGCTTCCTCTCCAGCAAGGAGAACAATGAGGAGCACCATAGTGACATCACCAAATCTCATGAGACCGGCAGGCAGAGGCAGCAACACCCAAGATCTCACACAGCAGATACACAGCTATGGGGGCTGTAGGGTAAAGGAGTGTCTAGGCACAGGAAGTGCTCGGCTATTTTTCGGGAGGAATTCCAAAGCGTAGCTTTTTCAAGGCGCAATTAACATCTCTAGATGTTCCCTATGATACCTTCAGTTCCACCTTAAGGGCTGAAGTCTTGGACCTTGTTCAGACTCCTGAGGCAGCTACTTCTTGACTGACTAACTAGGTGGACCCAGAACGGCTTTATATTTCCATATATGATGAAGAACTCAGAGGAATCCCCTAAAGAACGTTCAATCTTCTCCATGGAATTCCACTTCAAGCCAGGAGAAGGGAATTGTTGGGAGGTCTACTTGGCCTACAACCTTCCACCATACGGCAAGGTAAGTGCAAGAGCCTCGAGAAGTCCTAAGCCGACTCCGTACCTGGCTGCGATGTTACGAGGATGGTCCTGCCGTCCAACATCTGGACCTTCTGCCTGCACCCGCAGAGGGCGTCGGCGAGAGTGATCTCCATGTTCATGACCAGATCGTCGTCCTTCCTCTGGAACACCATATGTTCCTTCTGCTCCAAGACGATGATGATGTCACCAGGCTGCAGGCCGGGAGCCTGATCCCCTTCACCTTGAAATACCACCTTCTGTTTATTCTTCATGCCTGGGAAGAGAGGACACCAGATCATTCCTATTGTCCTTCAGGAAGAGGCCACCACAACATGCAAACAGCCCTCTGGATATGGCCAACATAGAGCAGGTTAGCCAGGAGGCCCTGGGATCAATTCCCACCGGTGGACCCCATAGGTCAGGGATGGTCAAACTCCGGACCACCAGCTGTGGTGGAACAACAAATCCCATGAAGCATCTCTCTCCGGGAGTCAAGTCTGTGATAATCTTGCAATGCCTCATGGGATTCGTAGTTCCACCACAGCTGGAGGGCCGCAGTTTGGCCACCCCTGCCATAGGTGCTCTTCAGGTTTCTAGAAGGTTCCAAAAACTTCCACCCAGAGATGGCTTCTCCCAAGCGAAGGATCTTTATACTATAGAACAGGGCTCAAAATTTCAAGTCCTGAGCTACTAGCCAGGCCTTAAGAGTTACTCGCCACCAGTTGCCCCACCTAACCCCAACCCTGCCAAAGACCATGTAAGGAGGACCATGTAAGGAGGACCCACCGGATTCACCATCCATAGGAGGTCAGGCTACTTAGGATTCACCCCGAATGTTGTCACTCAAGTGCTCTCAGGTGGAAGGCACAGAAGTAGGAGGAGCTACACGGGGGGGTAAAAAAAAAAAAAAAAAAAAAAATCAAAAAACTAAAGCGAGAACCTGAGAGGACCACCAGGTGGCCACTACAAACATCTGAACCGGGTTCAAACATGTATATTTTTTTGTAGGCATCTGATTGAGGTTCAGGATCTGACAAAGCACCTGGGAGGGCCCCCCTGATAAAATCGCAGCACCACGGTAGATAAGTCTTCTGCAGACCGGAGCACCGACCTTTGTCTATGTGGGCCCTCAGGATTTTCTTCTCCCGCACCACCTTCCGGCCCTCGCAGTTGCGGCATCGATCGCGCGGCCGTATGCACTCCCCCTGGCCGTTGCACTCCGAACACGTAGTCTGGACGGAGTGCACCAGCCCCGTGATCCGGCCCAGGACACGCACCTCCACGCCCGTCCCCTGGCACCTGCGGCACCGGACCTCCGACGCCTGCCGGGCGCCAGACCCTGCCGAGAGGAAAAAGAGGCAATTAATGGGGAGGGGCATAGCGGGTACGTACATAACTTCTCTCATTGGTCATCATTGTGATCAGAGCTAAAAAATTAGGACAGTTGTAGACCGTTTTTAGCCAGGAAGAGATGAAATGTCTGAGAATACTCGGCAGTCCTTCATCCGGCCAGCAGGGGGAGCCACTTTGGATTTCTTTGGAACCCAATTAGTCCTCAAAGCAGTGACACCGCCCCTTCTGCTAAAAAATCGGAGGTTTCAATCAGACAAGGGGAGCTGCAAAGCAAGCTGCTCTGCAGTGCTGCCATGTTAGCTAACCCACAGAGCTCTGAGAATCCTTTGTCATCTTTTTATTGTTTATTTGAAAAATATTAAATATGATTGCATACAAAAATAAAAAAATGCAATAAAATTAAAATATAATTATGTATATAATTTATTAATATTATATTTGCATATACTTTTTTTATAATATAATTTATATATAATTAAAATTATATAATATAATTTAG